CGAATACGCCGCCACCAACACCCCTCAACAAATTGGTGTATCGGAACGGGACGGACAAACCCTGGCCGAAGTCACCCGGTGTGTTCGGGTGGATGGAGATTTTCCGCCGTCCATGTGGGGGGAGTTAATGCTGACTGCAGCATACTTGTTGAACAGGTCCCACACTCAGCACTGAGGGGAGCTACGCCATACTCGAAGTTGCACCATAAGTCACCTGATCTCCCGGGACTTCGGGTCATTGGAGCGCGCGCCTTCGTACACCACGAGCGATACCGAAAGAAGCTGGACGACAGAGCTTTCGAAGGCAAGCTAAGTGGTTTTGGCCTCGACAGCCAGACCTACCGGGTAGAGAATCCATCCAACGGGGCCGTGGTCGAGAGCCGGAATGTGACTTTCATCGAATCTCCACCCCGGTCAGTGCCATTCCAGCATTCCAATGAAGCAAACGGGTACGAGAGCGACGTGCTGAGAGCGACGTGCTGACCTTCACCTCCCTGCTGGACAGCCCGCACTCGACGAGCGACCTGGACTTCACGGCGCAGAACGAACTCGTTGGGCAAGAAGTCCGGACGATGCAGCAAGACAATCTCGCTCGGGAGGAGCTTCGCCTAGAACTGGACGCGAACGAGGACGATCATGGAAACGGGCAAGATCTCAGCGACGGGGACGCCCCATCACCGCATCTCTCCTCGACGCCAGCTGGACCGTCATCCGAAACCCATGCATCTAGCCCCAGCCCATCACCGTGGAACCCGTCTGAACCGCACACTTCTGCATCAACTGGATCCTTCGGCATGCGGCGCCTGCAAGTCACCAGAGCTAGCACGCGCGGGAAGCCCACCAGCGACGATCAGATCGACGTTAACTTGGTTTCTGCCGATCTGCAAGTCACCATGAACGACCGCGGTCGAGCCCATGCTGCAACGGACCGCGTGGAGCCATCCGGTCTTTCCTTTACTCAGCTGGCTGAGATAGCCGATCAAGCCCAGCTCCCATGCCCTGGCGATACTGAGGATTTCGCCCACGTGGCGGAAGACCCCTTCACGGTGCCGCGTGCTCACGCCTACGTCACGACCACTCACGACCACCACAGGATCTTGGAGGAGACGAATCAAGCGATCGAAATCCCCAACACCTACGACGAAGCCATGAGCTCTCCCCAGCACGAAGAATGGAAAGGAGCGTGCAGCAAGGAAATGGACAATCTGCGGAAACACAACGTCTACAATCTGGTGCCCCTCAGTAGCGTTCTCAAGGGAGAGAAGATCCTCGCAGCGAAATTCGTCTTCAAGAAAAAGCTGGACGGACGCTTCAAAGCTCGCCTGGTAGCCGGAGGACATCGTCAAGAGCCAGGACAGGATTACGGACGCATCTACGCCCCAGTATGCCGTATCGGGAGCGTTCGCATGACGTGCGCCATTGGCTGCCACAACAACTGGCCCATCTACCAACTGGACGTTGTCGGTGCCTTTCTGAACGCCCTCTGCGACAGAGACGTGTGCATCAGACCCGCCCCCGGTACAGCCGCCAAGAACTCCGCGACAGGAGAACTCATGGTGTACAAACTAGAACGGAGTTTTTACGGCCTATCGCAGTCGCCGGCGCTCTTGAACGACACCCTGGACGAGTCTCTCACGGTGTTCGGATGGAAAAGGACTCAATCCGACCCCTGCATGTGCGTGTATACCAGCGGCAACATCATCGTGATTCTCAANACCAACTGGACGTTGTCGGTGCCTTTCTGAACGCCCTCTGCGACAGAGACGTGTGCATCAGACCCGCCCCCGGTACAGCCGCCAAGAACTCCGCGACAGGAGAACTCATGGTGTACAAACTAGAACGGAGTTTTTACGGCCTATCGCAGTCGCCGGCGCTCTTGAACGACACCCTGGACGAGTCTCTCACGGTGTTCGGATGGAAAAGGACTCAATCCGACCCCTGCATGTGCGTGTATACCAGCGGCAACATCATCGTGATTCTCCACGGTCTACGTAGACGACATTCTCATCACAGGAGGAGACCAGCAGCTCGTGGACCAGAAGAAGAAGGAGCTCACGGATCGATTTGAGATGACCGACATGGGAGAGGTAAAACGGATCCTCGGGATTGATGTAGAGCGGGACTACGAGCAAGGAACCCTGGCCATTTCACAGGAGCACTTCGTGAACACACTTCTGGAACGGTTCGGAATGCAAGAGGCCAACCGAGTGAACACTCCTGGATACGGAGCGGAAATTTCCACGAATCAACCTCAGGACCAAATCCTAGGACCCACGGACAAGAAAACCTACCAGTCGATGACGGCAAGCATCCGCTCCCTGGCCCAGTGCACGCGATTCGACCTCTCTTACGCGGCCCTACAACTGTCCAAGGCCTGCAGCAACCCAGCTCTTTGAACATGACAGCAGCCAAGCACGTTCTGCGATACTCTCGGGTTAATCCAGTTCTTCCTATCGTCGACAGGAAANTCAGGACCAAATCCTAGGACCCACGGACAAGAAAACCTACCAGTCGATGACGGCAAGCATCCGCTCCCTGGCCCAGTGCACGCGATTCGACCTCTCTTACGCGGCCCTACAACTGTCCAAGGCCTGCAGCAACCCAGCTCTTTGAACATGACAGCAGCCAAGCACGTTCTGCGATACTCTCGGGTTAATCCAGTTCTTCCTATCGTCGACAGGAAAGGACAGTTTCGGCTAGCGGCGTTTAGGGATTCATCCTTCGGAGCAAACCCCGACAACGGAAGATCTACCACGGGATATCTCTTCTTCCTGGCTGGAGGACTCATCAGCTATGGTGCGAAGACCCAAACTCTATCCGCGCAAAGCACGGTCGAAGCCGAGATTCAAGCACTTAGCTACTCAGCCAGAGAGGCGGTCTAGAATATATCTCAAATTTAATGACGAAACTCAACTTCAAGTCCTTCGGATCGGTTCCACAACAGCGACAGCACTGGAGCGCTGACAGTGGCCGGAAGTGCTATGCACTCTCAAAGCACGAAGCACGTGGCCCTGAGGTACTTTTTCATCCGGGAGCTAGTACTGCGGGGACAAATCACTCTTCACCACCGGCCCAGCGAGCACCAGTTGGCTGATATCGCGACGAAGCACCTACCAAAGCACCGATTCGCCTCCATCATTCAGCAGATCAAGGACTTCTCGTGTTGATCGAATATCTGTTAAGCTTCCTACCATACGCGTCATACAAGAAGGAATTAATTTCGACACGATGCCAACGGAGGGGTCGAGGTAGAAATGGATATGGTGATGCGGTTGACCATTGTGAATTAGTTGCTTGATCGAGGGTGTCAGGAAAAATCGTGCGTCGAGACCACCAGTAGTCGGACACGGTTTGACCTTTGAATACGATTGCAGCAACTAGTCTGCGTAGCAGTAGAAAAGAATCTATCTCTCCGTGGCATGTATTCTCTTGTTCTAGAAATATTCCGGAAGCATGCTAGGTCAAGGTCGACCGGGACATCTACGTAGAACGTGTGTAGCTTCTGGAAACCTTCCGGAACCTTCCGGAACCTTCTGGAAGCTTCTGAAAGCGTTCTAGACCCAGGTTGCACTTGATACTTTTCTAGAACATAGGAGGGCTTCCAGAATCATTCTGGAAGCATTCTAGATCTTTCGTGTGGTTGGCTTATTTGTCCGGTATTCGAGGAGAGTGGTGCAGCCCTAAGCTCGCCACCCCTCTCACTCCTCTTCAGTACCAGCAACATCAATCTGACTCGGGAGTCAGCAATTAATCTTCATGTTTCCATTCCAAGTCTCTCGCGGTTGGAGCCGCACAGAGTGTGAACCTCTGAGGTAGGCTACACAGCCTCCTGGCATCTGCAGCATCGTACTGCTGCTAGTGCACAGCGCAGTTACCCTGACATATGCAGCCTATATTCGTAGGAGGTTTTGCTCCCCAACTCCGGGGTTTCTACACGAAAAGGCGTGCACAGAAGCAGAGATCGCGCGCGCGCGATTCAAACCAGAACAAAAAACACCGACAGAGACGCACGAACACCACCAACAAACACATCGCCGCTGAGACGCTGGTCTGAGTCCAGCAATAAAGAGCAGGAGGGGCCGGGCCTATACGACCTGTGTACCATGGTTATACTGTAGGCGTTCGCCATGTATGTGTAACTTGGCGGGTGTGTACTGATTGATGTTGAGTGGATCCAACCAACTGCTTCAAAACGAAGAGTAGACCGATGATCACACAAACAACACACCTTCCCGGAAGTCCAGATCACACCTATCATCATCGAGAGAATCCGTCGAGGGCGTGAGGGTCTACTACTGCTGATGCTGTGCGTTATCAGGATAGTTCCCCGCGGGATCGGTTCAGATTGCGTACTTCCGCCGCGCTACTTACTGACTCTTAAAGAAAGCCGTGCCCTGCATGCTGTTGTTGCTGCTGCAGGGCTGCAGCAGGCCCTCTCGGCCTCTCCCATCAAAGTCATGACGTCACATGACCATCCCGACTTTTCGTTGTTTTCGGTTCATGCTGGACTGCTTGCTTGCAGTTGGGCGGGAAACTCGGAAGGCTTGAGACGAATTAATGTGGCGGGCACCTTGTGAGCCTGACGCAATACCTGCCATCTGTCGTGCCACAATCCTATCTCTACGCTGCTGGTCGTGCTCCTCGACGGTGTGATGTGTAATATACGCTTGCCGCCAGGGGGATGCCGCAGATGTGCGTCTCTGCGTCCGCACAGCGGGAAGACTTCACATTTTTAGAAAGTAAACATAACCTCACAGAAAGCCGACCCGTGCGAGAGATAACCTCAGTCGAAAGGGATGTGGTGCAGTCTTTTCAGTAAGTGGATTGAAACCAACTGGAGACTTGGCATATATCACCACTCAGCGGCCACTATCAGACGCTGCGGTCGATACACCACCGACTGCTCCTTAGAGTTATCGGGTACAAGCGCAAGAAAGACACTTACCGGCAGCTCTCTTACGCCCAGACGCTGAAGAGGGTCGAATGCCAGACAGAGCATTGAAGCCACGATCCGACAACGACGCCTACTGTTCGCGGGAGCATTGGCAAGGCAGCCGGGCGGGCGACTCCCGAAACGAGTGATGTTCGGCGAACTGGCAGGGGGGGAGAAGCGACGTAGGGGGGGACAGGGACAGAACTGGCCGAAGTGTGTGCTCGACGACCTGAAGGCATTCGGGGCCGACCACGGATCTACGAAAACCGATCCATGTTGTTTCGGAATCCCGGTACCGAAAGACACGGCACCGAAGTTAAAGTGGACGGAAGCCGTGAAGGTAGAAGAGCGGGGAGTATCCTGGCATGCGGCGGTGCTGCAGGGAGCTCAGAGGTTCATGACCTCCTGGCACGAGAAGGAAGAAGAGGCCAGCCGACAACGGGCGCTCAAACGAAACCACAAGCCACCAACCAATGGGGCGGGAGGGGGGCAGGAGACGGACGAGACGGCGAGGGAAGAAAGCAAACGAGAAGAGACGGGCCGAGAGGCGCGATACGTGCCGGGCTTTTAGCCGATTCCCCTCCCCCCCAACGCTGCACCATTGCACCAACCCCCCACTAGTGATGACGTACCATTACAATGTATCGCTGGTTGGTGGCCATGTTTGCGTGTTAGCTTGTCGTTAATNGAAGAAAGCAAACGAGAAGAGACGGGCCGAGAGGCGCGATACGTGCCGGGCTTTTAGCCGATTCCCCTCCCCCCCAACGCTGCACCATTGCACCAACCCCCCACTAGTGATGACGTACCATTACAATGTATCGCTGGTTGGTGGCCATGTTTGCGTGTTTGCTTGTCGTTAGTGGTCTCTCCACCTTGTGCCTTTTTCTGTCTCTTATTTCTTGTTATTTTCGGCCTGGTCCCTTTTTTTTGTCCTCGTTCTTTTTAGACTATTTCATTTTCTCTTTCCTGACTGTTTCCTTTTTCTCTCTTTTTCTGTGCCAGATGGCCTTGTCTCTGCTTGCGTTGTGAAGTACCAAGATTGAACCAAGGGGGTGCACCTCATTCTCTCCGGCCCGTGATGGTGACTCCTAATCTCAGTTGTTACCTCGCATAGCGCGTAGAGGGGGTGAAGGACTCCAGAATATCTGTCGTTGATTTCTGTTGACTTGCGGACCCCTTAGGACCATTATATTTGAGCGTACCTTTTTAGGGTAAGTTAGCCTGCGACCACGGGAATCGACCGCGTCGAGTGTTGTATCGGTACGGACATACGAAGGTACTGGGTAGAGAGAGATCGGAACGGTTTTTAATGTGAAGACAACAACAACAACAACAAAGTGCAAAATTTTGAACAGTGGCCGCACATACAATCATCGTCACTCCCGTCGCAACGCCTGCTGTCCCTCTGTGGTGTACGCGTAGCTGCACCACCAACGATTCATGCTGGTGCGTTTCGGGATTCGTGCACCATCAGCATCGCAGATAAGACCACTGAAAGGTATTGAGTCGCACCACGCGGCTCATTACCCCTCATACGTAGTACTTAAGGGCCGTTTTAAACTGACCGACTTTTTGTCAAAATGTTTGAAAGTGTCAAAAAAATGGAACCTGTATGTAGGCGTTTGTCCATATTTTTTCAAAATATTTGGAACGAAGTTGGGCGCGAAAACTTTGCTCCACTTCGTTCCAACTTTTTGACAACCCTCTCAAAGTATTTGGAGCACTTTCCAAAGTACCCTTGCAGAGGCACGCGAGGGCTGCTGCGTCTGCACCACGAGTGCCCCTCACCGTAGAAAGTCAGCTAGGGTTGTGTGTGGGTCATGGCCGACCGTAGAAAGCGCGGCGCGCCTATAGATTCGAGCGGCTCTCCTCGCCCACGGGCACGCGCAATACAAAAAAAAAAAAGGCGGTCCGCCATGATGGCTTGCAGTTGTTGCTTCGCGTCCGCCGCTTTGTTTTTTCCTTTTCCCGGGGGGGTAGGAGCAGTGGTTGCCACCCCTCGCCGGCGGCGTGTTGGTGGCGGCAGCGCCTCCCGTGGTAACATGAGTGTTCCCCGAGATGCCAGGCAGCAGCACTATCTTGCTGGAGAGCAAGCCTCCACCGCCTACGGCGGCACCGAGAGAGCCCGTCTGCTGGAATTTCGCCGGGGTTTTGGTCTGCCGGCCACGCTGGGTGGTCGTGATATCCATGTCGGTGTCCATGATGTCGTGTTTTCCGCGGTTTGTGTTGTGTCGTCTGTGTTGTCTCGAAGTGAGCGCTACAACTCACGGACGGCGTCATTTTTTTTTACACAAGTTGCACAAGTCTACGTCACACGTTTAAAATGACTGCACACAGGTTCCAAGTTTTTGAAAGACAACTGTCGAAAATTTTGACAAAAAAGTCGGTCCGTTTAAAACGGTCCTTAGTACATAAAAATAGGCCACTGGCTGTCGTTCCCTATAGACCAGTCTAGATCTCTTGAATGAAGCTGCAATCTATCATTCCAACATGTTGGATCCTCGGATCCTGAAGGCTGACTGAGTCTCATCCTGCTCTATCTTTTGCGCTGCCCACGCCAAATGCTCAGGAAAAAAAGCCCCTACTCTCTCCGTTCCTCCTTTGCTCACCTATCTTGTGCCCCCTCCCCTCTCCCTCTCACCTTCACTTCACACTTCGAAAAGCAGAAAAATACCTCTTTCTTGAGGAGGCGTTTTTCCCCCGGGAACGTTTACGACACTCCCGCATTTCCCCGAGTTACCGCTCGCGTTCTTGTGTCGCTCTTTCTCACTCTACTGCTGTAGACGCACAGCCGGTAACCATGGTAGGCAGCAGGCGATTACACCATGCGGCCGAACGAGAAGTACGGAGCGGCAATATCGTCCCGTTTGCTAGCCGGAAACTTCTAGTTTCCTTGTTCCTCAGGCTGTGCTTGAGGACTAGTAGAGCGGCCGGCTGCTGTCGGCTTGTTGCAGGTGTGTCCGACAGATATATGCCCGTTCCGTAGTGGCCGACCACTTGCTTCTCACTCTGCTTACGGGTGCACCTTCGTGTCTACTGGTAGTACTGTTATTCGGCTGTTGTGCACGACATCAGGATACAAATATACGCGGGCATTCACCCGATACCACAGAGAACACGCGACTTGCAGTGAAGTACTTGAAATTCGCCTGTGCCTAGTATGTATTCGATGATTTCTGTCCTGGTTGTCAGCGAGAAGAAGTTGGCTCGTCACGGTAGTCTGTTGGTTGCAACCAGGAGCACATGTGCTACCCGCGAATCGCTGGACAATATCTAATCGCTGGTCGGTGTTGCGAATGTGGGAGATAGTCGGCGGTCCTCGCTCATCGGCAGGCAGCCAAGAGCAACAAGTTGTACGTCGTCTGCT